TATCCTGGGCCTTTTGTTTTTCCATATAAAGTTGGTTAATGTTCTTTCCAGGTCTGTGAAGAATTGTGCCGGAATTTTGATAGGGATTGCATTGAATCTGTTGACTGCTTTTGGCAAGATTGTCATTTTTATTATGTTGATCCTACCAATCCAAGAGCATGGGAGATTTTTCCATTTTCTGGTATCCTCTTTGATTTCTTTCTTTAAAGACACAAAGTTCTTGATATACAGTTTTTCACTTCCTTGGTTAACATTATCCCCAGATATTTGATGCTGTTTATGGCTATTGTAAAGGGTGAGATTTCTCTAATCTCTTTCTCAGTCACTTCATCATCTGTATATAATAGGGCCACTGATTTTTTTGAGTTAACCTTGTATCCTGCCACTTTGCTGAAGGTGTTTATCAGCTCTAGGTGTTCCCTTGCAGAGTTTTTTGGGTCACTTATGTAAACTATCATATAATCTGCAAATAGTGAAAGCTTGACTTCTTCTTTTCCTATTTTTAATCCCCTTTATCTCCTTTTGTTGTCTTATTGCTGTAGCTAGAACTTCCAGTACAATATTGAAGAGATATGGAGAGAGTGGAGAGCCTTGTCTTGTTCCTGATTTTAGAGGAATTGCTTTGAGTTTCTCTCCATTTAGTTTGATGTTAGCTGTTGGTTTACTGTATATTGCCCTTATTACATTCGGGTATGTTCCTGTTATCCCTGATCTCTCTAGGACGTTTATCATGAAGGGGTGCTGGATTTTGTCAAAGGCTCTTTCAGCATCTAGTAAGATGATCATGTGGTTTTCTTTCACAGTTTGTTTATATGGTAGACTACATTGATAGATTTTCTAATGTTGAACCATCCCTGCATTCCCGGGATGAAGCCTATGTGATCATGGTGGATGATTTTTCTGATGTGTTCTTGAATCTGCTTTGCTAGTATTTTATTGAGTATTTTTGCATCGATGTTCATGAGGGAAATTGGTCTATAGTTCTCTTTCTTAGTTGTGTCTTTGTGTGGCTTGGGCATCAAGGTAATTGCAGCCTCGTAAAAAGAGTTTGGCAGTGAGCCTCCTGCTTGTATTGTGTGGAATACTTTGAGGAGCATTGGAATTAGCTCTTCTTTGAATTTCTGGTAGAATTCTGCACTGAAGCCATCTGGGCCTCGGCTTTTTTTGTTTGGGAGACTTTTGATGATGGCTTCTATTTCATTAAGGGTTATAGGTCTGTTTAAATTGTTTATCTGCTCTTCATTTAGTTTTGGCAAGTGATATCTATCCAGGAAATTGTCCATTTCCTTTAAATTTTCGAATTTTGTGGAGTACAGATTTTCAAAGTATGCCCTGATGATTCTCTGGATTTCCTCAGAGACTGTTGTTTTGTCCCCCCTTTCATTTCTGATTTTGTTAATTAGCATGCTCTCTCTCTCTGTCTTTTGGTTAGTTTGGACAGAGGTTTGTCTATTTTGTTGATTTTCTCAAAGAACCAAGTCTTTGTTTCATTGATTCTTCTCAATGTTTTCCTGATTTCTACTTGATTTGTTTCAGCCCTCAATTTGATTATTTCCTGGCGTCTGCTCCTCCTGGGTGAGTTTGCTTCTTTTTGTTCTAGAACGTTCAGCTGTGTTATTAATTCTCTAGTATGACAGTTCTCCAGTTTCTTCTTGTGGGCACTTAGTGCTATGAACTTTGCTCTCAGCACTGCTTTCAATGTGTCCCATAAGTTTGCATATGTTGTGTCTTCATTCTCATTGAATTCCAGGAAGTCTTTAATTTCTTTTTTTATTTCTTCCTTTACCCAGGGATGGTGCAATTGTGCATTGTTCAATCTCCATGAGTTTGTAGGGTTTCTGCGATTTGTGTTATTGTTGAATTCTAATTTTCATGCATGGTGGTCTGATAAGATACAGGGGGTTATTCCAATTTTTTTGTATCTGTGGAGATTTGCTATGATTCCTATTATGAGTTCAATTTTAGAGAAGCTTCCATGTGGTGCCGAGAAGAAGGTATATCCCTTTGCGTTTGGGTGGAATGTTCTATAGATGTCTGTTAAACCCATTTGGGTCATAATTTCTATTAGTTCTTTTGTTTCTTTGTTAAGTTTCTGTCTGGGGGTCCTGTCTAGTGGTGAGAGCAGAGTGTTGAAGTCTCCTACTATTAGTGTGTGAAATTTTATGTGCCATTTGAACTTTAATAATGTTTCTTTCACAAATGTAGGTGCCTTTGTATTTGGGGCATAGATGTTTAAAATTGAGACTTCATCTTGATGGTCTTTTCCTTTGATGAAGATGAAATGTCCTTATTCATCTCTTTGATTGATTTTAATTTGAAGCCTAGTTTGTTAGATATTAGGATTGCTCCACCCACTTGTTTCTTGGGTCCGTTTGATTGGAAAATCTTTTCCCAACCCTTTACTTTGAGATATGTCTGTCTTTGATGTTGAGATGTGTTTCTTGTAGGCAGCAGAAGGATGGGTTCTCTCTTCGTATCCATTCTTCTAGTCTGTGTCTTTTTATAGGCAAGTTGAGGCCATTGACATTGAGGGATATCAGTGACCATTGATTGATGATTCTTGTTTGTGCTTGATTTATTGGTAGTGAAGTTATTTTGTGTAGTTTCTCCTCCCTTTTTCTTTTGCTGTTTTGTAAAGTGGGATTATATATTGCCTGTGTCTTTGTGAGTGTATTTATCTTCCTTGGATCTAGGTTATCCTTCTAGCACTTTCTGTAGAGCAGGATTCATGAATACATATTGTTTAAATCTGGCTTTGTCATGGAATATTGTTTTCTCCATCTATGATAATTGAAAGCTTTGCTGGATATAGTAGTCTGGGCTGGCATTCTTGTTCCCTTAGCGTTTATAGGACATTTGTCCAGGATCTTCTGGCTTTCATCGTTTCAATTGAGAAGTCATGTGTAATTCTGATATATCTGCCTTTATCTATTACTTGGCCTTTTTCTTTGGCTGCACTTAATATTTTCTCTTTATTCTGTAGGTTTTATGTTTTGATTATTATATGGCAAGGTGCCTTTTTTCTGGTTTGGGGTTCTGTAAGATTCTTGTATTTTCATAGGCATATCCTTCTTTAGGTTAGGGAAGTTTTCTTCTATGATTTTGTTGCATATGTTTTCTGTACCTTTAAGTTGTATTTCTTTGCCTTCTTCTATACCTATTATTCTCAGGTTTGGCTTCTTCACGGTGTCCCATATTTCCTGGATATTTTGTGTTAGGGATTTGTTGGTTTTGAGGTTTTCTTTGGTTGACGACTATATATCCTCTAATGAATCTTCAACACCTGAGATTCTCTCTTCTATCTCTTGTATTCTATTGGTGATACTTCCATCTGTATTTCCTGATCGTTTACCCAGCTTTTCCATTTCCAGCATCCCCTCGTTCTGTGTTTTCTTTATTGTTTCTATTTCAGCTTTCAATCCTTCAACTGTTTGAGTTGTTTCCTTCATTTTTTGGTTGTTTTTTTCTTGGTACTCTTTAGATTATTTGAGGGATTTGTTTATTTCTTGAATTTTTTCCCCTCATTTCATGGAATTTTTTGTTTATTTTTTCCTCTATTTATTTAAAGGATTTCCTCGTTTCTTTTTTGAGGGTTTCTATCATCTTCATAAAATGATTTTTAAGGTCTGTCTCCTCTGCTTCATCTATGTAGTGCATTTCAGGTCTTGCTGGTGTTGGTTCCCTAGATTGTGGTGGAGTCATGTTGGTCTTTTGATTGCTGAGTGAGCACTTGCTCTGTCTTCTTCCCATCTCTTCTTCTAGTGGGTGCTGGTGGGGTCTTTCTGTCTCCACTGGTCTCCTTCCTTCCTGAAGCTGAAGCTGGCTGGGGTCACCGGAATTTGGGCCTGGAAGTGCTGGTGTCTTTCCTGGCTGGCTGGGCTCCCTGGAGTTTGGGGCCTGGAAGGGCTGATGTCTTTCCTGTGTGGGCGGGTCTTCTGGATGCCAGGAGTGGCCCTGGAAGATCAAGGGGATGGGTCTTGGGCAGAGGATGGGGAGTGTCCCCCAGGAGACCCAAGCTCACCTGGCTGAGATCTCTGGAATTTGGGGCCTGGAAGGGCTAGCCCTGGCCCTTTCTTTTGTGAACCATATTTCTTCCTTACTAAGAGTAGACATTGCACTCCGGAGGCAGAGGCAGGTGTATCTCTGTGAGTTCAAGACCAAGCCTGGTCTACCGAGTGAGTTCTAGGACAGGCTCCAAAACAATACAGAGAAACCCTGTCTGAAAAAACCAAAAAAAAAAAAAACTGGAGTAGACATTCTGTATCTTATAAAAAAACATATTTAGTGATTTATTGATTCATTCACAAAATCAATACATGTCTGTGACCACATTCCCTCAGTATTCTAATTTGTATTGACAGTTAAACTTGTCAAGATATATGGAATTTACATTGTTTTTATAGCAATAAACTCCATAGTTGTTCATTTGCATATTTGAATCTTTCTATAATTTATTCAGTTATTCTATGAGGCTTTCACTTTTGATTTTTTTGTTTTTTGTTTTGTTTTGTTTTGTTTTTTTCGAGGCAGGGTTTCTCTGTATTGTTTCAGAGGCTGTCCTGGAATTGGCTCTGTAGACCAGGCTGGCCTCAACCTCACAGAGATCCACCTGCCTTTGCCTCCCAAGTGCTGGGATTAAAGGCATGCACCACCAACGTCCGACCACTTTTGGTTTTTTATCTTTAGTACTTAATTAACTAAATTTTCAGGCAAGATTTTTGAATAGTTAGAATTAGAGTGTGTTTATATGTTATTAACTGATAAATTTTTCAAGTCATATAGTCTTTGTTTTATCTATTCATTATGTTTATGATTCATGCTGTGTTGGTTAATTATAAGGTCGTTAGTCAAAATTCCTTCATTCAGAATTTAGACTTTCATTCTTGGGAAAACAACTTTTATTTCTCAAATGCTGCAAAACCTGAGCTCTTATTTGCTTATGCTGTATTCACTTTCAAAGTGTTTTAATCTCATTCCATTTTATCTTCACAAACCTATAGGTACCAAGGAAGAACAGGTGAAAAGATTGTAAGAAAGGGGATGGAAGACACCAGGAGAACAAGGCCTTCTTAATTAGCTGAGCAAGGCACACATGAGCTCAGGGAGATGGAAGCAGCAAGCACAGGCCCTACACCAGTCTGAACCAGGTCCTCTGTATATTTATTATACCTTAAAATTTTTATAGGACTCCTGATTGTGAAAATGAATGGGTTGCTGAATCTTTTGCTTGCTCTTAGGACTCTTTTCCTTTTATTTATTTACAGCACTTAATGTCTATATGATAGCCTTTTCTTTCTCTTATTATACTTTATTTTATCAAGTTTTTTTGTTATCTCTTAAATGCCTGTTCTTCTCTAATGTGAGACAAAAAAAGTAGTGGAACTGGAGGAAATGGGAGGTGATGAAGTACTTGGAAAAGTAAAGGGAAGGATATCTATAATCAGGATATATTGTATGAGAATACATTTTTAAAAAATCTACATCCAATGAAAATAGATAAAAAAGACAAAATAGACTGTCTCATAAGACAAATCTAAAGGAAATTCAGGCTTCTAACTTTTATGGAACATTTAAAATTTTGTATTCTAGAGTTTTAATAATTTCTAATTTTACTAGAAACTCTGATACAAGAAAAATAATTCAGATAATTTGTAGGATATTGCAATGCTGCAGACTTACCACAGCCTGGGGTCAGGTCCTGAGACAGGAAAGGGTTATCGGTGGAGGAATTGTCCAACCACCAAATGAGTTTCACACATGTGACTGGTCCTGAATATCTTGATCCGACTTTACTTATACTTCAAAAACAAGCATGTTTCCCCCACTCTTCAGAATTAGCTTCTGATAGAAACAAATATGTCAAATGTTTTTCCCAAACCCTTACATTAAAACAACCTTTAAAGCAAAATCAACTGTTCATTATTTTGCTAGGTTGGCTAAATATCAAGCCAGGTACATCCTGTCTTTACAAAGCTAAAAGTTGATAAATATAGGAACACATTCTCAAGAACTACCATCAAAATTTAACAAAGCATATTTGCAGAGATAGAAGTTATTTGCCATAAATTGCTAGCATATATTTACCTTGTATTTCTCTAACTTTTTCCTTGTCCTACAAAAGGGTCCTGCATACTTTGCTGAGTGAGAGACAATCTCTGTGGTCTTGCCTTATTGAGACCTGTTGGAGAAGCAGTCATATGCTGATCTGAAAGTAGACCACATAGCTACCCAAAGTACAATGTGTTGTACACTTTGAATTTTTCCCATTGCTTTTCTGAAACAATAACAGAAATTCAAACTATAAAGGGAAGAGACTTTGGAGTCAGTTAATACACCCTCTCATACTTAGCTATAGCTAAAGAAGAAATACACACCAGTTACCTCCAAGGTCAAGATATTAGCTTAGGACTGAACCTGTTTGCACAGGCTTATACTCTCAGCTACTGAAGAAAGAGGATTGCAAGTTCAAGAACTGACAAAGCAATTTAGTGAGGCCATGTCTCAAAGCAAACAATGGATGGGCTTTTACTCAGTGTTCCAGTGCTTGTTGAACATGTGTGAGATCACAAGGTCTGTCTCCAGTATTGCAAAAAGAAGAAACACATACCTGTGTCTATTTCTCCTCAGATTCCGTTGCGGGTTAAAGGACCACGGACAGATGGGAAACGCAGACTCTACTTTGGGCTCAGGTCTCTATGAACAACTGGAGGAACTCTGGACACTTGTCAATGTGTATCTTTGCAAGAAACATGTAAGAAAGTAAGAGGGGGTGGTAACCAAGAAAAAGTGAGGCACCTTCCCTTCTGCTTTTAGTCAAGTGGATACTTGAGATATTTTGTTCAGTTTTGCATTGCAATTGATTTCTCTCTGTTTGAAAGTCAATCTCACCATTTTAAGCAGAAGAATTTGAATTGGGTGTGTTCTTTTAGTACAAGGCCATTGTAATAGTGGTTGCCTGCACCTTCCATGTCCACCTTTCATGAATGTTGTCTGAAAAGGATGGAAGACTGGCACAATCTTACCAGGAGACAACTGGGTAGTATGATTTATTAGATTACCCTGTCTAAACATAAGGAATTCTCCACATGAATCATAATAGAAAATTTGTATTCATATATATTTTGCCTAAAGCAATAAGGATTGATTGTCTTCATAATATTGTTGACATAGAAAATCTTGGAAAACATGAGTAATTTCTAGATTATTGTGTATCCTTTCAATGGTCATCATATCAAATGTAATGCTGACAATATATTGCTGAGATATTTTACAATGTAAGTTTTATATTAAACAATTATATTTAAAGAATATATATATATATACATGGTTTGCTTAAATGGATATTAAAAGAATTATGTGTCATATTGGTAAGGCTTCCTAGCTCTTCTTTAAAGGTAATTCAAACTAGGTATCAAGAAAGAAAGAAAATGTGGTAAGTGAACATAGTAGAAAACTTATACAGAAGAGCATGTGGTTATTAAAGCCCATGGTAATTTCATTCATGGCTTAAACTGTGGTGCCTTGGTAAACACAAAGAAATGACTATTGGTCCTTATGGAATCATGATTCAATTTAGTGTTAACAGTTCTGTTATAATTTCAATGGATAATGTTAACTGTTAGGGTTCAATTGAGCTAGATAATTAGTATGACACCCATCCTGTAAAACAGGTCACATTCTGTCTTGGAGTATTTTTGTTGATGGTTGTGATTTATTTGACCCAATACATTTAGGACATTGAGCAAAGAATTGATTATTGCTGGGCACTGGTGGCTGTTGACTTTAATCCTAACTCTTGGGAGGCAGAGGCGGGAGATCTATGTGAGCTTGAGGCCAGCCTGGTCTACAGAATGAGTTCCAGGACAGCCTCTAAAGCAATACAGAAAAACCCTGTCTCACAAAACCAAACCAAAAGAAAAAAAGAGATTGTTTTGGCATTACTCTAGAGGCCCCAGCTTTCCAGTTACTTACCTTATTCCAGCCATAGAATCTAAAACTGGGGAACCACATCTGCCTCTTAACCTAGCTTCTTCAGGTCCTGTGCCAAATCTAGTCCCACACATGGACAAGAAGAAATCCCATCTGAATTCTCAACTAGTGGCAAATGCTTTTGATGGAAGCCAGAGCAGATGAGGATAGCAAATACGTTATGAGTAAAGTTTCTTAATGTCCTACAGGTCTGGCAGGGTTTCACCTCTAGGCACCCCTGGAGAGTGCTTGGGAGCATAAAGTAGGATCTTACGCAATGGACTAAGATGCATTAGTCATATTTGCTTACCTTATAAAACCAAAATTATATCTCTCAATTGTTTTCAAGACAGCTGCAGCTAGTGTATCTATCCCTCTGGGTACTCTCAGACTTGGGTTATATTTTCTCAACTGGTTGGAACAGTTTAGACCCTGGCTACCACATTGCTATACTACAGCAAACAAATTATTCAAAGCTTATTATTACTATGATTCACCACAGAGGGAACTTCAGATTTAGGAAATTCCCAATGTTGTAGGGAATGGAAAACTTTGAAACTGTATCATAACAAATTTTACTGAGGAGCCAAGAATTTAGGATAGAGAATTGGGTTTGAGACTTTGGTGGGGAACTTGCTTCTTAGAATAGTATGCACTGGATTGGAAGGAAGCATAGAGAAAGGCAGACAAATCAGAATTTAGATCAAAGGGCACCAGAACAGAAATAACACTTTTACATTTAATGCATATACTGCAGACACATTATATTTATAAGGATTATATGACACAGAATATAATCCTTTACACTTTCACTTTTGTCACTATGCATTTATCCTTTTTAAACTTAGATTTGTTAGTTAGGCAGAGGATTATTATACTTCTTTTTTGCGTGTTTTTCTTTTCTTTCTTTCTTATTAATTTAATTTTAAATAGCTTGTTTCCCAGTTCCCTTTCCCTCTCCTCCTCCTGCACCCCCTAGAATCCCCCAGCCTCCCATCCTATCCCCAGTTCCTTCCACATAGGGGATATCTAGAATCTGTCGTTTCACTTAGGGAAGGGTCCAGGCACTCCCCTAAGAGTCCAGGCTGAGAGAGCATCCCTCTTTGTGTTATGGACACACAAAGTCCATTTGTATGCCAACGATAAACACTGATCTACTGCTCAGGGCCCCATAGGTTGCCCAGTCATATGTTAGAAGACAGATCTGGCATCAGTGAGACCTCTAGTGATCTAAAGGGATGACACCAACTGGCAAGGAAAGCAATAGTGGAGAGACCACCTTAAATCTCCATTCCTGATAATGAACTTGATGTCTATAGCCATCCTAGAACCTTCATCCAGTGACTGATGGAAGCAGAGGCAAACATCCACAGTTAAACACTGAACTGAACCCACAGAACCCAGTGACAGAAAGAGACGAGTGATGAGCAAATTGGCAAAGAATGCACTGGCAAAACCAGCAGAGACAGCCAATCTGAACAAGGGGGAGCTCTTGGACCCCAGACTGACAGCTGAGAGGCCAGCATGGGACTGATCCAGACCCCCTTTTTTATTTTTATTTAACTTTTTACACATGGTACTCTCAGTTCCCTCTCCCTTCCCTCCTTCCCTAGCCCCTCAACCCTCCAAACCCCCCACCCCACTCCATCCCCCTCTGCTCCCCAGGGAGGGTAAGGGCTTCCATTAGGGATTTTCAGAGTTTGTCATATCATCTCAGGCAGAGCCTAGGTCCTCCCCCGTGTGTCCAGGCTGAGAGAGCATCCCTCCATGTGGAATGGGATCCCAGAGTCTATTTGCATGCTAGGAATAAATACTGATCCATTCTCCAAGGTCCAACAGATTGCCTAGGCCTCTTCTCTGACACCCAGATTCAGGGGTGGGGGCAGTGTCTGGACCAGTCCCATGCTGGCCTCTCAGGCATAAATCTGGGGTCTACGTGTTCCCCCTTGTTTAGGTCAACTGCCTTCCCAAAACCCTCTACTTTGTCAAATTTCAAGTCAGGTAACCTGACAAACTTTGGTGCATGACTTACATCCAAATTATAACATAATGTAAATACATTTTAACATTATATGAGGTATTTTATCTTATCTTATTAATAACAATTGCAAAATTTTTTGTTTGTTTGTTTGTTTTTCTCAAGACAGGGTTTCTCTGTACTGTTTTCGAGACTGTCCTGGCACTCGCTCTGTAGACCAGGATGATCTCGAACTCACGGAGATCCTCCTGCCTCTGCCTCCTGAGTGCTGGGATTAAAGGTGTGTGCCACCAACTCTCGGCAACAACTATGTGTTTTATTTTCTGATAGGGTCAGAAAATCATAAAATATTTACTTTCTATGTCCTTAAAGAAATAGTTTATTATCCCTGATTTTAAACAATTCCTGTCATTCATGTTTCCTTTTTGATGCATGATATGTATTATATATACCTGAAATATACATCCATACATGTGTGTATACATGTATATATAAAGTTCATATACATAACTATGTGAAACGTGAATGATAGTTATGTTTGAAGTAAGTACATAACTATTATTAATGCTTTGACTTCAGCATGAATTGCAAAAAATGTCACAGAAGGCTTCCAGCATAAAAGGAATTCAGTGCTTGCTATGTTCCTTACTGAGTTCCAGTGATTCAAGAACTGCTAACTTCTGTCATTGGTACAATGCCCAATCTGTCAGTGGTGCACATTCTCATGTTAAAATGTTTGTGGAGCCGGGCAGTGGTGGCGCACGCCTTTAATCCCAGCACTCGGGAGGCAGAGGCAGGCGGATCTCTGTGAGTTCAAGGCTGGGCTGGACCGACAGCCTCCAAAACAATACAGAGAAACTCTGTCTCGTAAAACCAAAAATAAATGTTTGTATAAATGACAGATGCTGATTATAAACACAGTGAAGAGAACTTTAATTACTTCAGTCTGACAGGCTGTGTGGACTCAAAACAGCAGAATTAACCTTGAGGAATGAAAAATAAACTTAAATTTTGCCTCTTGATGATTGGGCGGCACACCATAACTATGAAAAACATTATTCATGCAATAGTAAATGTAAAGAAATATAAAGTACACAGTTTGAAGCATGCAAAGAAAAATGACAAAGGATGTTCTTATGTTGCCAGAGAAACAATGTTAAGTGCATCCTTGTTTTCAGGAAAACTGAATACATGTCTAATATGAATTCATGAAGCCAGTGTGTGCCATCACTTAGGTTTTTGTTTTGTTTTTTCCAGAAGGAGGAGAACCTTGGGAGACTACAATCAAGAATTGTACATTGTCTGAAAAGGTGTTATAGGAAAAAAATTCAAGTAGGCATTTGGAAGTTTCTTCAACTATTCCAACTTAAAGAAAGCATCTAATAATAATTCACATTACGAAATATGATTAAAATGGGATTTCAGTGAATTTCCACAAAATCCTTTATCTTGTTTCGAAGGTATTTATGAACCCATTTCTTCATTGAAACATTGCAAATTATCAGCAATAGGAAGGATTTGTCCTTATTAGGTTAGGAATAGGAGTAGAGGTAAATTAACAGAAATCCTAGTATATGGTGTGGAGAACAACCATGTGTGTAGAAGATGCATATTCATAGAATAGCTTACATAAGAAACATAAAATGTTACTGTTCTTTGCTTTGGAAGTCAGTAATTGTTTGACTGTGTCCCCTAAAATTGCTGAGCCTTAATGGTCACTATATTAGCACACATGGTCTTTATGAGGGCTGAGCAATTAGAGCCAGCCAGGTCAGTCGACTGAAGCCCTTCTAACAGATGCTTCATGGATATTTGGGTTTCTGTCTGGGCCTTCTGTCTTTCACTTCCTATTCCCTCTCCCCAACCTCTTTTACAGAGTTTATGATACACACTACATTAGAACATGTCTAAGATTTATATATTCTATACACAGTGGTTAAAATAGAGGTGGGGCTTTTCCAGGAATAATTCAATAATGAGAAAAGCCCATGCTGTGTCCCGTTATAGAACAGAAAATGTCCTGCTGGTATCATTGTCAGAGATGAATGGAAAAATGCCATGTCCCAGTGTGGCATTTCTTTGGGTTTAGTAGGCAGGCAAGGAATTGTGACCAGTGCACAGTTTGGTGTTCGTTTGAGGGAGAATGCCATGTCCCAGTGTGGCATTTCTTTGGGTTTAGTAGGCAGGCAAGGGATTGTGACCAGTGCACAGTTTGGTGTTTGTTTGAGCTCCTTTTCAGTTTCTTCCCACATGGTTTTCCCTGCAAGGAGAACCCTCTTGCATTCAGTGCATGCCCTTCACACCCTTTCATGCCAGCTCCCTCACGTACTCCCTTTCTATGTTTTCATCACATCAAGGATCCTGAACTAACCCAGAATCACAATCACCTTTGACTTTGGTTGTGTATTCCATTTACAATGTTGCAGAAGAGGGCAATTATACCACATTCATTTTTAACACATTTCACATTACTTAGCAGCTGTAATCAGCCCAAATTATTGAGTTCATTTTGCTAGTAATGCCTAACAACAGGATTTAAATTTCTTGAGCTTGGCATTATTTGGTTGCTCTTTGCTTTACCAGTTTTGACTCTATGATTGGAAGTGTTAATAATATATAAAATAATATAAATGTATAAAAATTATCAAAGGAAAAGTTTAGAACATTTCTAATAAGTACAAATTATATTTTAGTAATGAGAAAGTCTCTCTTTGCTTTATATTTGGTATGTTAATTAATGGTAACTTATACATGATAGTTCTTCCAAGGTTAAATTATAATTTTAATCAAATACAAGCGAGTTACTAGATGAGGCTAAACAAATTTATACTAACTATGTATAAATAAAAAAAAACTGATAGCCAGGGAAGCAGCTAAAGAAATCAGTTTAGGAGACCCTATGGCTGCAGACTGTAAAATGGATCATAAAGTTTTCAAAAATGAGCAGCATGGTTCTGGAATATTAACATGCAAGCATGTTAGAAACTGAAATTGAAATCCCATACAACATAGATCTGGAAATTGAAAATCTTCCATTGAATGTGCTCGACACCTGGCGATCCATTCATAAGAAGGTAAAATTAGAGCCACTTCTCATATTATATTCAAAAATATAAATCATGTATAAGAATAAGTCATAGAAGTATGAGATGGAAACACAGGGGAATTTCTCTATTCACTATACAAAGACTTTCTATATGTGACTCAAAATATTAAATCCATTATTAAAAGGCTGAAAAATTTGACTACATAAAATGTACTCATAAAGGAATCAAAAGATGTGACAAACCAGGAGAAAATTTAATTTTAAAAACAAACAAAAAACAAAAACCACAAACCAAGTCAAATCAAAACAAAAACCAACCAACCAACCAAACAAACAAAAACCATTTGATGAGGGCTAGCAAGATAGCTAAGTGAGCAAAGGTGTTTCAGCCTGGCTATTTACCTGAATTCATTCCCTGGAACCCACTTGGTAGATAGGGATAATCAATTTCTACAGACTGTCCTCTGATCTCCATGTACGAATTGTGACATATAAAAGTGTTTACACACAAAACTCCCAATAAATAAATGTTTATAAAGTTATTGGATGAATGCAGATTGAAAAACTTTCTTCAAAATAATTGTTTACTATTTATTTAATGAGTTTAGGTCACAAAATATCAAAGAATTCAGGAACAGATTGGAGAAGTAAATAAAATTGTCTGGTTTGACTATTTTATAATGTGTCCACACATTATTAATATTGAGAAAGCCAGATAAAAGATGTATTTGAAATTTCTTTATTTTTTTTAGTTTTCTGTTCATCTAGAATTTCTTAACACAAGAATTTATTAAAGGGATTATAAAGGCTTATACAAACAAAAAATGTGAATGTGCCTGCTGGATAGAGAGTTAGGAAATAGGAATGATCATATTTCACTGCATACTTACATGAAAATTTTGAGAATAGACTAGAATATATTGTATTACCAAAAATATACACAGGCTATATGTATCATTGTAGTTGTATGCTGAAATAAATTATCGGGTAGCCCAACCAGCTTGTAGGATGAACCAAGAAAAAAATTTAAATTCTAGTGTCTTACACACACACACACACACACACACACACACACTCTCTCTCTCTCTCTCTCTCTCTCTCTCACACACACACACACACACCTCTGTATTAAAAGGGTAGATGCCATCTTTACATAGTCATTACTTCTGGAGAAATAAGAATTAAAGGGCATCCCGAAAATTGCCATTTAATGCAATGTCTAATTTCCTAAGGCACACAGAGGTAAGAATGCCAAGGGTTGGGATTTTATGAATTTGGGTATGGGTACACTTGCTAGGTCTTTTCTCTTTGCTTATTCTGTATAAAATATATTAAAATAAAATGAAATAAAAATTAAATTGGCTGTTTTCAATGAGGAATTAAAACCCCATCTAATCCTATTCCTATTGGTTCTATAATAGAAAGTCGAAACTAGTAATTTTGATATAACTTTATATTCTTTCTTTGAATTTTATACTAAGCAAATGGTTTTATTTAAAATATTCATATGTAAAGGCACAATAAAATGCTTCAATCTATATCAATTATTTGGTGAGGTCACACACTATTTGTGTTTGGTAAAGCCCACCCAGTATTTTTTAATAAGTTGAACTAACATGTAAATTTGAAGGTATTTGGGAATTCAAATTTTATTTTTGCTTCTTGTGAAAAGAAAACAACGAGGCTAATGGTACTGGCTCTGTACTGAGAATAAGAGCTGTGCAGGCAAGATGCCTAGTCTCTGTGACTCCTGCCATCATTTCCAACTACATTTTGTACCTTCCTTGGTCATTTAATATCTTGAATTTTACCTGCTTGACACTGTGACTTAGGATTTTCACATATCTACACTAAGGGTGAAACATTTACTCTTCTTCCTTTGGAAAAATCTGTCTCTCTCTCTCTCTTTCTCTCTCTCTCTCTCTCTCTCTCTCTGTGTGTGTGTGTATGAGCACATACATGGGTGCATGTGTAAGCAATTTTGAGAACAACATAACCTGAAGCTTCCTTCAAGTTAACTTTTGTAAATATTCTAAATACATAGATTGCTATGAATTATCTGAAAATAGAGTAGTTTCAGAAAACATGGTGTTATAAGGTCAATTTGTTCTTATTTTCATTGTGTGCGTTTGTGTGTGTGTGTGTTTGTGTGTGTGTGCGCGCGCGTGCACACGCACGCACAAGTGTCCTCAGAGTCCAGAAGAGGTTATTTTGAGCTGGAGTTACAGTCATCTAATGTGAGTGCTGGTAACTGAATTCAGGTCCTCTGGAATAGCAGCTAGTGCCTTCAGTCACCAAAGCCATCTCTCCAGACTCTGTAAGGCTAAGTAAGCAGCACTTTTCAAAGCTGTTTAAAAAGATCGACAGGCAACAAAGGAATGCTGAGATTGGGGGAAATAGTCTTCTGTAAGGAAGAACATGCTGACTGGTAAAGCAAAATCTGAAAACATAAACAAAAGTAACACAGATTGACCAAGTTATATTTATCTATTTAGGAATGTATATATAATATTCATTTTATATACATGCACATTCATATGTATGTACTGATAATTAAGGACAAAAGAGGTCACGGATTTGTAAGACAGCCGGGAGGATGGAAAGTCTTAGAGATAAAATGGAAGGAAGAAATAAAGTAATTATATAATAATCTCAAAAAATAAATCACATTATTTAAAAAACATCTGAAATCATCAAAAACTAAATGAAAGCATTATACACAAATAAACAAATTCAACTGATTGTCTCTTATTATGTATAGGTGTAGGATTATCTAATTAACTCAAACTAATTATCTAATTAACTCATTCCTTCTCCATTCATCATCTATTGCTCCTCTTCCTTTTTTCTATTATCATATTTGACACAGTATTATATACATATAACTGAACTCTAATGAAAACTGGTCTGTTGCTTTGTAATTCAATATTATACTGTTCCTTTAGCCATATTTTGTCAAAGGAGCATTTGGGGTAGATCTGGTTTAATTCTGATGTCATTACTGATCCACAGTATGAGGAATACATTACATGCTTGACATGCTGTTATTGCTTGGAGTGACAATAAATTCAAAAACAGCCTCAGATTTTGATTTATTTGTTCTGTTCTCTTTTTTTGTAATTTTCTTTTTTTGTTCTCTTCCCTCCCTATCCCCAGCTTTATTTTATTACCCTAAGGTATAAAACTAACTCTGGTCACATGGAGTGGCAGTTACAAGAACTCAAGTCTTAATGTGCCAGTAACCTCTGGTGACCTGCTGAGACCAGAGGCCCTGAGGCCAGCCTGGGCAGATGAGAAGGGACCCCTGGGAGCAGGCAGCTCCTGGTATTCACACACTGTTTCTGATATTTGCATGTCTGACATTCTCACAGTCTTTTTGTTTTCCCTTCTTCCAAGTCCTGTGTGTTAGGTATCAATTTTCTGATATAAAAGACAGCTATTTTCTGGCTCTGGTCTTGTTTCTAAGGAGCTGTGTGGCACATCCAATGATTGGCACTTACAGGAACCAAGGTCTTGACATGCCAATCGCCCTTGGTGGACCTTGTCCCTGAGGCACCGCATGGCTGCTCCTAACCTGACCTGAACTTCAGACTTCAGCTAACTAATTAATTCCTTGTTTCTTATTTGTACTTTGTGATTATCCTTTTTGTTGTTGTTTGTTTTGTTTTGATTGACAGGAACCACATGTGTTTTCTGGTTTGGTTTTCCAAATACTCCCTTATGTAAAGTGGAGCAAACACAGCTTGGATGCAGTGCAGCTGGCTCAGAGCCTGCCAGCCGTGTGGGTGACTCAGGCACTGAAGTTTTATGAGTACACACTGAACGGAAATATAGAATATTTGTTATTTGAACTCTTAGGAACACATTTTGAGCAGTTTACTGCGGCGCAGTATATGTGATTTAAAATATCCTAAAAGAGTCCCAACTTTGCCTTCATGATAAAGAGAATGAGGCAAGGTGTTTTTCAATAATTTTCCATGTTGGGTGAAACAAACTTAGTAGTAGTAATAGCATGGAAGAAAAGGCAAAATAAAGGTAAGAAATTTATTCCCACACTCATCTCAATGTCAATGAGAAGAAACCAAGTTTGCTCCAAATGGTTGAAAGTGAGTAAGTTTTAGATAAGAAGAGTCTGCCCTGTTGACATTCTGGTGAGTTGTTCGGCTGCATTTATATCGATTCTGGTACACAGGCAGCTCACAGGCCACAAGTTGGACAGGCCTGTATATAATCGCCTAAGGAGGAAGGTCACTTTTGGGGCCATTCCTCAGTTTTGAAGCACTGAAGAGATGAGGCTTTAGCTTGAAAACAGGCAAATCATTTTGGATGATGTCACTTGATTACTTTTTCTTTCAGAATAGTGAATTATATTAATATCTGCTTACAATCATATTACTATATCATTCCATATCTATCTATCTATCTGTCTATCTATCTATCTATCTATCTATCTATCTATCTATCTATCTGTCTATCTATCTATGTATCTGTCTATCTAAAAGACTTTAGTATGGTAGTTGAATTCCATCATTCTGGAATCTGAGAAACACAAAATACACTTTCTGTAAGATGAGAATGAAAGTGTTGATGGTAGGATT